CCTAGTGAACATCTTTAAGACAACAGTGTACCCGCGCAACAGCAATCAAATCCTGCTGTTGGCTCATTTGGTTTAGATTGATGGAAACTAGTCCAACATATCTGGTGGTAACATGTTGGAGTACAGTAGCTGTCAAAATACTCCAGACATGTTCATTATATATATATGTAAAAGTGATGAAAAGAAGCTTAATCCATGAAACATTATTATTATTATTATTATTATTATTATTATTATTATTATTATTATTAAAATGTTCTTTTTTTTGTTTTTCCTATCATTTAAAGCCTTTCTCTGTATTTTGCAGTTGAGTTCCTCCACCCTTAATTATTCAGTTTTTGTGGGCATAGTTCTAGGTATAATAGTATATTTTCATGGAGTATTTATTGCTCTGTGCCTCTTTATGCCTGTCCCCAGGTATAATGTTAGACAGACCTTCACCAACAATTGCTAAAAAATTTTAAACGATTATTAACTGTTGCAAGAGAATCCCTTTTCCCTTATAAGATACATTTGTGAGGTTTGTACTATTGTAGCCCTATTTTGAGTATTGCTCAAAATATTAAAACATTCTCAAATAGTTTCTTGCTCAACTTTTCTTTGTGCAACAACATAAAATACTCTTGGTAATAAATATGACACTGGAAGCTGATACTGAACTTTATAACAAAACAACCCATTGTTCAAAAATTATTTTGTTTTGTTTTGTTTTTTTAAAAAATATGAAATTGAATGGATCAAGTCTGGAGAGCACCAAGTCTTAAGATATTGTTTTGAGCTAAATGAAAGGTAAGATAATATGCCAAATAAAATCTGCAAATAGCTGCATAACAAAACATTCTTACAGATAAAGCTAACAAGACCAAATGAAAAGTTAGCAGTCCCCCTATTCCAATACTTTGTATGGTAGATGAGAAAATGGCTTGAGTGCTTTTATACAGGGAGTTTGGTTGATCTGGCAGCTGCAGACTAGTTCTATATGTGGGCAATTGTTTGTAATGGACAAGGTACATTGCATCTGATCTTTGTATTCCTGAAAAGAATGGGCATTCTTTACACTAATTTGATTTTACCAATGGTAAACATGGATAGGCACAATTCTTCTACTCACATTACTTGGGGACAATGTCTGTCTTTTGTCTTCTGCATTTACTGCATGATATGTGTTATCTCATAACTTAATTTGTCAGTGAGAAAGATGGAGACACTTTTGTGGAACAAGATGGGAATATCCAAAACACAGACTTGAAATGCATCCAATCTTCTCAATGTATTTTTTTATTTAGAACATATGACAGATCTAG